CCTTGTCCCCTGACTGCCCCCTCCTGGGGCCCCCTGTACCCCCCTGGGATCCCACCCCCATCCAACCCCCCCTGCTCCCTGACTGCCCCAACCCCTATCCACACCCCTGCCCCCTGACAGCCCTCCAGGACTCCCCGCCTATCAAACCCCCCGTTCCTCGTCCCCCTGACTGCCCCCCACCCCAGAACCTCTGCCCCATCCAACTGCCACCTGTCCCCTGACTGCCCCCCAGGACTCCCTGCCCCTTAATCCAACCCCACTGCTCCCCGCCCCCTTACCATGCTGGAGCCAGCCATGCCGCCGTGTTCCCCGGCAGGAGTGGCAGGCCAGAGCGCTGGCGGCACAGCAAGCTGAGGCTATGTGGGGGAGGGGGGACAGCAGGGGAGGGGCTGAGGGCTAGCCTCCTCGTCTGGGAGCTGAAGGGCCAGGCAGGACAGTCCCGTGGGACCGGATGTGGCCTGCGAGCCGTAGTTTGCCCACCTCTGGCATAGAGCGTCTTCACCAGATGCACTGCAGCAGTGCTATACATGTAGATATGCCCTAAGCCAGCTTCATACCTACTTTTACTCCAGTGGAACAATCCATTGTTTATTCCTATGTGGGATTTGTTTTTGAGTGACTTTGTTTTACTTTGGCATGTAGTGGACCTAATGTTGATACAAAACAAAATGAAATGTTATATCAAGGATTGTTCAGCAATATTTCTTCCCTCTGTTCTGTATAGGAGGGGTATCTTGTTCAGACATCTGACAAAAAAAGTTCCTTCTCTTTTTTCCCCCTGTAGTCACCAATTTGAATCCAGCTCAAGTCACAGTGAGGGAAAATTGTTATCCTATGATATCTGTTGGGTGTGTGGCACTTTTGAAAATCAGGCATGTGCCTAAATGTGGATTTATTTAGGAGTATAGTTTTAGGTCTCTTTCTGAAAATCGTTTGTGTGTGTGAGTGTGTGTGTGTATTGTAAAAAGAAAAAATAAAACCTTCTGTCCTTCAGCAATATGACAGGATAGCAGAGAAGGATTTATTCCTCTCTGAGGCCCTGATTCAGTGAGGTAATTAACATATGCATAACTGAGCTTGTGACTAGCCTTATTTAAGTTAATGGAATTGCTCATGTGCTTAAAGTGACACGTGTGCTTACGTATCTTGCTGAATTGACACCTTAAAATATGTGTTTTATGTGGTGTGTTACTTGCCAAACTAGGTAATTTCTCA